GCCATTTAATTTCATTATTGGTCCAAAATGTCAAAAAATATCTATCAGTCAAAGAAAATCTATTTATAGAGCACTTTAAACAACCAAAATGGACACAAAGTGCTGTACAGAAATGCACGAAAGAAAAGAAAATAGTAAAGCAGAAATTGACATTGAAATTGTTTGCTTTGTCCATCCATTTACCCCAAAACCCAAAGATATTTAGTTTAAACATCATCAGTGACTAACAAAATAAGCTAAAATTCACATTTCAGAAAGCGGATGCAGAGAATTTAGGGGCAATAATAAAAATTTAAAGTTCAAATTGTAATTCAGAGTACTCGCTTATGTCTTTTTGTTGTTCGTCATGACTTTAGTCGTGTATAATTTGGCCGGTAGGTGTTTGTCAGTTTGTCTCAGAAGTTGCATTCCAGGTTACTGAGCTTTGGGTAACTGGAAACGGCGCTTCTGCTTCCTGTTGTGTTAGCAGTAAACTGTCCCCGGTGACAACATGTGAAACTGACTTCTGACGCGCTTTAAAAAGAAAAGAAGAAAAGATGTTTCAATAGTTATAATAAACTCTGAAGTAGGACCAAAGAAAAGATCAATTTCTGTTTTAGTTCGTTTTTTCTCTGCTGTTAGATACCACGCTGTTATTATTGTTGTTATTATTATTATTATTGTCATATAGATGGTAGTGATGGGCAGTTAGCAGTGTTAGGGTTAAAAATACAGTAGAAAAATAAATCTATTAAAGTTGGGTTTAGTGAACTTGAGTGACCGAGCTGTGAGGCAGCCGTGTTTGATAAATCTTTGTCTCCTTGTCGCAGTTAGGACTTGTTGAAACGACAGGTCAAACACTGTTAAATGAATGCTGTTTGAGTTCCTTACAAGTACGATGCTTCATTATCCCCAAAGGGGCGTTGGTCTCGCAGCAGGTGAAACCTAAATTGACGTAAACATACAATAAAAAAAAAAAATATATATATAATGTTTGATTTTAATGAATTTAAATCACAAATGAATCAGCACTTAATTTTTCTATTATGCTTTTTATTTTGTTGAGTGAAGCGGGGACTTACTTTTACTCCTGCACATTTGTTTAGAAAAGGATTTTATCCTTTTCGGCCAAACGTTAAAACGGCACTTTAGTGCCGGACTATACCATGAGGTTCCTTACTTATATTTTACATTTAGACATTTTAAACACAGGTGATAACAGTAAGAACGTGTTTTCCTGCTGTGAAGAAGTCAAAATGTCCGTGTGCTGTTCCTGTTTAGTTTCCTAAACATCCTTCTATAACGTCCTCACGTTCTCCAGCGTCCCTCTTCTGGTTCTTTGTTTGTTTGTTCTTTGGTGCTTTTGAACAAGAAACCTCACAGGTGTGTTTTTGGCGCTGTGGCACAACTTTCCCCGTCGCGCTCTGACACGTCCACGCCCTCGCCGTCTCCCACACGGTGACCTTTTCTTTCTGCTTTTGCAAGGATGTGCAGGAATGTCAGGATGTCAGCGCTGTGTGTGCGTGTGTGTGTGTGCGTGTGTGTGCGAGGATGATGGCTGCGAGCAGATGCAGTAACTTCAGCTATCACACACAGTGAATCTACCCACAGCCGTGTACCCGCACAGGACAGATATATACGCACTCTGTGAGCGGATCTGATGGATTTATAGTTATTGATCCAGTGTTGAGATCTGTTTTTAGTTTAGATGTTTTTAGAAGAGGGTTTTAAAGTTGTTGTTTTTTATGCTTGCAACATGGCTGTGTGGATTGTGATGGAAGTTGGTTCAGACCAAGGTTATTATTGAAACTAGGTGTGAAAAAACATTTTCGTTAACTGAAATAAAAATATAAACAATATTAACGATAACTACCTGAAACCGTTTTGTCTGTTTGCAAAACTAACTAATAAACTAAAATTACAGAGTAAATGTCTTTAGTTTTTGGTCTGTCAGTTTATTTCACAGGACTGACATAAGCCTAGTATTTAGGTTTCTTAGCTGTGCCAGTTTTTACCCCACAACCTCGCCTAAAGACTAAAACTAGCAATGAAATAATTAAAGACAACCTAAACCGACTTTAAAAACTAATCAAAACCAAACTTAAATTAAAAACAAAAAGTCTAAAGGAAATAAAAATATAAACTCATGAGACTACAGTTGAAAATTAGCCTGCTGGCTAACACTGGCACATTTACAGAAATGTTGATTAATGTGCACTGTCCTTAAATAAATAAATGAAATGAAATGAAATTTAATACAGTAAAACCCTAGTTCAGACCTTAATGCTCCAGTCAGGAAGACTTTTTCTAGCGCCACCATGAGGCCAAACTGTAACGTGTCCAACACACATCCAGCTTTATTTTGTTTTTAGCACCAAGTAGCTACGGTTAGCATGCTAACACTGTCGTTAACATTGTCGCTTTTTGAGAGGAAGTTTGATTTTATATTTGAAATACAATTAAAGGAGGTCAGATGATCCTGTGACCCTGAAACGTCCCTTTAATCCTTTTGATTCTCTTGTTTACCTACTTACATACTAACAGCCCTTTTAGTCTACCCTTCCTTCGTCAACACCGACACTTGTTGCTCCCCTTTCTGTTCATCCACCGTCTTTCCTCCCTCCCTCCTTTCTCCCCTCGTCATCCCCTCCTCTCCATCCTTCACCCTCCTCCTCCTCCTCTTACAGCCGTCTGTTGCCATTCGTTTCAGCAGCCTGTGAAATGTGCTGCCCCGGCACTTCGTTAGCCAATCACAGCGCGTCTCCGTGTGTGTGTGTGTGTGTGTGTGTGTCTCGTAGCACCTGCCAGGGCCATGTTACAGTTTGTCATGTAAGAGCAGTGATACAAGGAGAGGCCAACACACACACACACACACACACACACACACACACACACACACACACACACACACACACACACACACACACACACACACACACACACACAGTATGAGGGGTGGAACATATTCACTAGGACCTCAAACGCCTCACTAGCGCCTGACTTCACCTCTGACCCACCTCTGACTTCACACCTACCTCCTCCACATGGCGCAAGTGTGTAAAATCCAGGTGTAACGTTAACGCTGAAGTGCTATTTCATATTTTCGCCCGATATCAGCTAATTGCAGATAAATCGGTTTCAGTGTTTATAACGTCCGATAAATGACGTTACGAGTGTTGTCACTGCAGAGTTTGTCCACCAGAGGGCGCACACATGCGCTGACATGATCAGCTGTACTGTTGGTCAAAGTTCAACTATTCATACCAATAAATTTATTTTTGTTTATTTATTTATCTTAGTGAGGTCTCATAACTACACAAAACAAATGTCTCCATCATGAAAAGCAGAATATGGCGTTATCGTGTGAAACAAAAAGCTTCAGAGAAAAGAAGGTTTTGTAGAAATTAATCTGTATATTACTTATCTGTTTATTTCTACAATAAAATGTGGGTGTTTTTTATTGAAGATTTTTAACCTGAGTCATTTCTGAATTAGTATTATGGTCTGGACCAAGTGGGACTTCATGTTAATATTAACTTCCTGCTTTGTGGTTTCTCATCATATTTTCACACCGAAGATCAGCTCAGAGCCAGGCTGCTTTGTTTTTACAGCTTTGTTTAAAGATTTTACATTTAAATAAACTCCTCATTTACATTTTCTCCATCTTTACTGCTCCAGTTTCTCCAGTTTGTTTTTGTTTTTTGCGTTCATGCCAAACTCCATTGAATTTTTCATGATCTTTAGAGCCTCGCTCTCTTTCTCTCCCTATCATAGTTTTTCTTTGAACGAGGAATGCCAAACACCCTCTCCCACCCTGCAGTGCGCGCACACACACACACACACACACACACACACACACACACACACACACACACACACACACACACACACACACACACACACACACACACACACACACACACAGAAGTTGTCTCTCTGAGCTGGAGGAGGAAGTGGCCAGCTCTGGAGAGCGTCTTCCTGTGGGGGCTGCCGAACAGGAAACAGTAATTAATTCTCTTCTTCTTCTCTCCTCTGTGAGGGGGGAAAACTTTTTCTTCTCTACCATCATCCTCCATCTTTTCCCTCCATCTAAATCTCATAATTTCCTCATCATTTTCCCTCAAACACACTCTGAATTTATAAATCTTGTCTCTGACTTATGTCTCTCTCTCTCTCCTGTGTGTCTCTGGGTCTCTCGGCCCTGTGTAGAGACAGGTGTGAGGATTATGAACTCTACATTTTGTCTCCTCTGGTCCAGTCGGCTCTGAGCCAAGCTTCCCCCCTCTTGTAGATCAAAGGTCACGGCTGCCGTCCTCTGCTGTCTCACATCACGTCTTCATCCACGTGTCGTCAGAAACTAAAAGGGAAACACATGGAGCAGCTAAAGGATGCTGTTAGGAAAGAGTTGAGCACAATAACGCTGTTTTATAGTCCTTAAAATGCATTAAAAAAAGCATTAAATATCCCACATTTTCTGTCCATTTATAGTTCTATAACCTCATTATGCCGACATGATTTGTAAAACTTTTGAAATATTTGAATGGACATCTGTAGCATTAAAAACACATTTTAAATGATGAATATTCCTCTGTGAAACCAGATACTCTACTTACAGGTAGGCTGAGAAACTAAGAAGCTTTTTAGGTTTCACACACCAGCCTCCAGTGGAAAAAATGCCCGTTTTAATGAGCCATGAGTTGACACACAAAAACACTTGGTAGAAGATTAGTTAAGACCTTTCAAGATAAACCAGGAGCTGGTCTTTAATGTGGCTCTCCACAGAAATTTATAAAAGATTAACCACCTTGTTCTCCTGAATATTTCTGCCGGCTCTAACCATCTGAATACACTTTCTGCTTCTTGCTTTGTGAATCATTTGTGGGCCGAAATCACTGATGATTTATAAAACGCGTCAACTAATAATCTTTAAACTCTCTCTGTTTATCAATATGTGACAAATAAGAGTTGTTGTGTTTTTATATAAATGTATGTCAAGTTTGTGTTGTTTGTGCACATTTCAGCAGTCATGGAAAACTCCACAGAGGAGCAGCGAGAGGAGATTAACGAGGAGGAGTCTGAGCTGAAGGAGGAGAAACCGCACAGTAACCTCAAAGGTCTGTACAAAACCTCATTCAAAATCTGATGTATTTTAGCTCAAAGAAACAATCAGTAAACATAATCTGATAATTTCACGCTCTAGCGATCAACGGAGTGATGGAGGAGGCAGCGGGCGGAGGAGAGAAGCTGCAGAATGGAGACCGAGGAGGAGGGATCATGGGAGCTGAAGGAGGAGGAGACCTTTCCTCCATCAACGCCATGATGTCAACGGTGATGTCAGCAGGAACCATGAATGGAGGAGGAGATGAAGAAGGAGGGAGCGGAGTCACCTCAGCCAACTCCTCCGCCGGGCCGTCCCCGAGGTGAACGCAGACCTCCTTTAAATACTCCACATCACTGACCTCCGGTTTCTAAAGAACAGAATAAAAACCCAGATCCTTCAGCCAGGAAGCATGTCTCCTGATAGATAATCCACGCCGTCATTAGGTCACTTTATCACACGCTGCAAGCAGGAAGTCAGTCTGTAAAGATGTTGCTGCTCACCTGCCGTGTTTGAGTGTCCCTGAACGCACCGAGAGGGAGAGTTTACCCGACAGGTTTCATGACGGAAAACAAAACAAATGCCAGCACGAAGTATTAAATTAAAAGGTTCTTGCTCCGTCATGGCGTGCGGTTCACATCAGGTCACGGCTGAAGATACTTTAAAGCTACCGCAACGTTATTTAGAAGGTTAAATCTGGCGAAAATTAACTTCATGAAACCCAATAAGTTACTCAGGTTACAGGTGATGGAGCATTTTTCTGACACTTTCTTCTTCTCTGCTTGAAGCCCCTCCCCCAACAAGTCGCTCACGGCCGCCATGAGAGCCCCGCCCAGCCGCAACGCTCGCCGCAACCAGGTACACACACACACGCACGCAGAGTCTGAGCTGTAGGGGCGCTCCTGTCCTCATGAGGCGGATTAAAGCTGCAGGTTCACAGCAGACTCCTCCAACGTACATCCTCTCCTCTCATCTCCTTTTCTTCCCTCTTCTCTCCTTGTTTCCTCTCCTCTCGTCTCCTTTTCTTCCCTCTTCTCTCCTTGTTTCCTCTCCTCTCGTCTCCTTTTCTTCCCTCTTCTCCTTGTTTTCTTTCCCTTATTGTCTCCTAGGTTCCTCGCCTTCTTTCCTTTCCTTTTCCTCTCCTTGTATCCTCTCCTTCTTTCCTTTCCTCTCATCTCCTTGTATCCTCGCCTTGTTTCCTTTCCTCTTCTCTCCTTGTTTCCTCTCCTCTCGTCTCCTTTTCTTCCCTCTTCTCTCCTTGTTTCCTCTCCTCTCGTCTCCTTTTCTTCCCTCTTCTCCTTGTTTTCTTTCCCTTATTGTCTCCTAGGTTCCTCGCCTTCTTTCCTTTCCTTTTCCTCTCCTTGTATCCTCTCCTTCTTTCCTTTCCTCTCATCTCCTTGTATCCTCGCCTTGTTTCCTTTCCTCTCCTCTCCTTGTTTCCTCTCCTCTCATCTCCTTTTCTTACTCTTCTCTCCTTGTTTCCTCTCCTCTCGTCTCCTTTTCTTCCCTCCTCTCCTTGTTTCCTCTCCTCTCGTCTCCTTTTCTTCCCTCCTCTCCTTGTTTTCTTTCCCTTATTGTCTCCTAGGTTCCTCGCCTTCTTTCCTTTCCTTTTCCTCTCCTTGTATCCTCTCCTTCTTTCCTTTCCTCTCATCTCCTTGTATTCTCGCCTTGTTTCCTTCCCTCTTCTCTCCTTGTTTCCTCTCCTCTCGTCTCCTTTTCTTCCCTCTTCTCTCCTTGTTTCCTCTCCTCTCGTCTCCTTTTCTTCCCTCTTCTCTCCTTGTTTCCTCTCCTCTCGTCTCCTTTTCTTCCCTCTTCTCCTTGTTTTCTTTCCCTTATTGTCTCCTAGGTTCCTCTCCTTCTTTCCTTTCCTCTATTCTCCTTGTTTCCTCTCCTTCTTTCCTTTCCTCTATTCTGCTTGTTTCCTCTCCTTGTTTCCTTTCCTCTCCTCTGCTTGTTTCCTCTCCTTCTTTCCTTTCCTCTCCTCTGCTTGTTTCCTCTCCTTCTTTCCTTTCCTCTCCTCTGCTTGTTTCCTCTCCTTGTTTCCTTTCCTCTATTCTCCTTGTTTCCTCTCCTTGCTCCTTTCCTCTCCTCTGCTTGTATCCTCTCCTTGTTTCCTTTCCTCTCCTCTGCTTGTATCCTCTCCTTGTTCCTTTCCTCTCCTCTGCTTGTATCCTCTCCTTGTTTCCTTTCCTCTCCTCTGCTTGTATCCTCTCCTTGTTTCCTTTCCTCTCCTCTGCTTGTTTCCTCTCCTTGTTTCCTTTCCTCTCCTCTGCTTGTATCCTCTCCTTGTTTCCTTTCCTCTCCTCTGCTTGTATCCTCTCCTTGTTTCCTTTCCTCTCCTCTGCTTGTATCCTCTCCTTGTTTCCTTTCCTCTCCTCTGCTTGTTTCCTCTCCTTGTTTCCTTTCCTCTCCTCTGCTTGTATCCTCTCCTTGTTTCCTTTCCTCTCCTCTGCTTGTTTCCTCTCCTTGTTTCCTTTCCTCTCCTCTGCTTGTTTCCTCTCCTTGTTTCCTTTCCTCTCCTCTCCTTGTTTCCTCTCCTTGTTTCCTTTCCTCTCCTCTGCTTGTTTCCTCTCCTCTTGGTATGCCTCATCGCTGTGGTACATTTCTCTTGTCTCATCTCCCACCATGCATTGCTGCATTCCACGCTGCGTAATCACTTCCTGTGGCAGAAACAGTAAAAAGGAAGTGATCCTTCCCTGACTGTGTGTGTGTGTTCACACAATGACCAGAGCAGAGCAACACGTGTGTGTGTGTGTGTGTTGTACTGTCAGTGTGTGTGTGTGTGTTGTACTGTCAGTGTGTGTGTGTGTTGTACTGTCAGTGTGTGTGTGTGTGTGTGTTGTACTGTCAGTGTGTGTGTGTGTGTGTGTGTGTGTTGTACTGTCAGTGTGTGTGTGTGTGTGTGTGTGTACTGTCAGTGTGTGTGTGTGTGTGTGTGTGTGTGTGTTGTACTGTCAGTGTGTGTGTGTGTGTGTGTGTGTGTACTGTCAGTGTGTGTGTGTGTGTGTGTTGTACTGTCAGTGTGTGTGTGTGTGTGTGTTGTACTGTCAGTGTGTGTGTGTGTGTTGTACTGTCAGTGTGTGTGTGTGTTGTACTGTCAGTGTGTGTGTGTGTTGTACTGTCAGTGTGTGTGTGTGTTGTACTGTCAGTGTGTGTGTGTGTGTGTGTTGTACTGTCAGTGTGTGTGTGTGTGTGTGTGTGTGTTGTACTGTCAGTGTGTGTGTGTGTGTGTGTGTGTGTTGTACTGTCAGTGTGTGTGTGTGTGTGTGTGTGTGTGTTGTACTGTCAGTGTGTGTGTGTGTTGTACTGTCAGTGTGTGTGTGTGTGTGTGTTGTACTGTCAGTGTGTGTGTGTGTGTGTGTTGTACTGTCAGTGTGTGTGTGTGTGTGTCAGCTGTTCGTACACTTTCATATCGTGCATAGTTTCTTTGTTTATTTGTTGTTGGTTGTTTATTTGTGTGTGTATCTGTTTGTTTTCCAGGACACCAAAGATGACAGCTCAGCTTTTATCTGTCCGCTGTGTAACAAGAACTGTCAAACACAACACAGCCTCACCATGCACATCAGACAGGTAGAGACTCACTGCTGTTACTGCTGTTTTTACTAAGAGAAAGGTGCAAAGCAGTCAGACTGGCTGCAGAAAGAAGTCCGATTGGATAGAAATAAATTTCATGCAGCTTGCTGAACAGGCTCCACCCTCTTGTCCAAATATGGTCATGTCTGGTTCCAAAAAACTAAGATGGCGGCAATTAAAATAACTCAAGGCTTTAAAACGGTATCGTACAAACCGCCGTCCACTTGTGTTACGCCGTCTGTGATTAACGTATCTTCCTCTCCGCAGCACAACGCTGACACCGGAGCGACGGACCACTCCTGCAGCATCTGCGGGAAGTGCCTGAGCTCGGCCTCGTCGCTGGACAGACACATGCTGGTGCACAGCGGGGAGAGACCCTACAAGTGTAGCATCTGTGGACAGACCTTCACCACCAACGGCAACATGCACAGGTGCGCACACACCTGCACGCACGCACACGCAGCGCTGGGCCTCCTGCTCCGTCGGCAACAACTCTTTTTATAACACTAGCCCGTTCACAGGGGCCCGTTCACAGGGGCCCGTTCACAGGGGCCCGTTCACAGGGGCCGATTTGTTCAAAGTGTTTGTCTCCCATTGGTTCCACCTGTAGCAATAATAACACTGTCCAAACTGCTCCAAACGAGACCCTGCACTCCCTTCGGGTCCGCAGCGACACCGCGACCACGTTTGAAGTCTATTGGATGGACGGTTCCTGACGTCATCGAAAGACACACACACACAGATTGAGGTTGAACATATTTTCCCGCCCTGACCTTTAACCTCTGACCTTCTGGAAACAAGACAAAATGTCCACGAGTCAATAAAGTAGAACAAAGAAAATACAAAACAAAGCGTCGTTTTTAATTCACACAGACTGGCTGCAGATTATTGCGCGCGCACACACGTATTTAGCGTGTAACCTCGGGCAGAGGAAGTTGGCGTTTAACCCGGTTCCCAGTCAACTGTGATGGAGCACAAAACACAAAAACGGGTCCTGAGTTAGTGTGTGTGTGTGTGTGTGTGTTTGAGATGGGGGATTAAACAGGAAGTGGGAAGATGACTTTAAACCATCCATCACACACACACACACACACACACACCGCCCAGTCATTTATCAGTAGAGTCCAGCCTCCACCATCAGACTCAACGGTCCTGCAGCAGTGTGTGTGTGTGTGTGTGTGTGTGTGTGTGTTATGAACCTACATATTAATTATTGTCTGAACTGTCGGGGGGGTAGACGACCTTGCATTTAAAACAAAAAATAAAAAACACATTATAAATCCAGCTTCTTCACGCTGAACACGGCTGTTTTTAAGTAAATCTTTGGTTTGAGGATTTTTTTGTTGAACTTTTCTCTCTAACACGCTTCATCTTAAACAAACTGACACCAGAAACAAAAGGAAGACAGAACGAGAGGCAGAAATATTGTGTTTGAGGTGGAAAACACAGAGAGAGAGAGAAGCATTTTTATAAAAACACCTTTTATTTTGCTGAGTTCTGGCCTCAGTGGAAACATGACGACTAAGAGCTGAATGGAGATGTTGTGAGTCTTTAAACTCAGCTGTGTGTGTGATTGTGGGGGAGTTTCAGAAAGTTGATGTCAAAGCAGGAAATTTTCTCATGAGTCAGTGGGGAAAAAATAAAGACGTCGGAATAAAGAAGGACTCGTTTTACTGTGTCAACCTTTGGTATATTTGTACAGAAAGTCAGTTTGAGCTCCACTACTGTCTGTGATGATGCAGCTCGCTGAGGGATTAATGGAAACCGACGTAGTGGTAGAAGGAGTCCGTTCCCGTGTCTAAAACTCGGCGTCGTTGGAAACCCGAAGCCTGCGGCGTGTTGATGTCTGTTTGGGACAGAGAGACGAGTGTTTTGTTCTTCCTCACACTCCTGGTGATGGTATGAGGAGGCGTGGGCAGGAAGGAATGACCGTAGGCTGAGAGACAGACGGACACAGAGAGCTGTTAGATGTTTCTCAAAAAGAAAACCCTCCCGTTTGTTTCTGTGCTCTTGCTGTGGGAGCAGCGAGGACTCCTGTTTCCTGTGGGTAACGTCAGTTAAAGAGGAAGTTGTTTGGACCTGAATGGAAAACCGTCTTCAGCTTCAGCTCGGAGACGAGACATGACACAGTTAGAATCAAGTTACATTTCTGATTCAAGTCTCTTTAAACCTGCAGCAACGTATGAATGGCCACTTGTTTTCAGCAGGAACAAGCTGTGTCATCAGCTTTACATTGATTTCTCTCTGTGTTCGCTCTGTGTTTGGTCTCCACCAGCTGCTGAGGGAAATATCTGGCTCTTGAGCTGCTAAAAACTGAGTCTGTTGGCTGCCGAGCTGCTCGTGGACGGCGGCTGTTTACAGTTTTGTCTTCTCTTGAAACGACGCTCTGAGAGTGAACCAGGACAGGAAAGCTGCCGCCGGGCTGATAAACAACGAGCTGAAAGAATCTATAAAGCAGAGAAGCTGCAGATTCAGCTGGTTCCTTCGCTCTTTGCTGTTAAAAAGAGTAAAGAGAGAGAAAAGGTTTGATAAAAGATTTGTTGGTAGATGGTGAGACACTAATGGATTTAACTAATAGATATCACCATGAAACCTTCCTAGAAGATAAGTTGCATTAGGATAATATTTTCTTGTATTACAGGTTTTCTGAAGTTTTATGTTCAAATATGCAAATGAGGCAGTTTTTAATTAAATATACGCTAATTTGCAGCTATTTCAAGAACTGAAATCTGAACCGTGGATTAAATCAGATTCAAAATTATTTTATTTTTTTGACACGTTAGACTCAAATGTTTTTACCGAGGGGATTTTGGATATCTTTTTTTTTTTTTTTTTCATAAATTAAAAAAATACTGTAACAGGCATAAAAAAATAATATAATTCAGGCTGTGAATGACACATGAACAAACCCCTCTGTAAACACCTTCAGAGGAGAGGACTGTTTGGTGTCTGTAAGTGCTACTAAAGTGGAGATTTCAGGTTCAGAGGATGAGGAAAAACAGCCTTGTGAAATTCCATACATTTCTTTATTGAAAATCTAAAACGCATAAAAACTGAAGAATAATCAGACACTTCATTTTTTCTTGAGACATGTTGAGGAAGCAAAGTAGCCAAAAAACGGTGCGTGATGAAACAATGCGTTTGCCTGGCGTGTCCCGCCTTGAAGCCGACCCAGGACCCAGATCCAAACTGTTGCTTCACACCCTGATCTCACCTGCTGCAGCTTTACCTCCAGCAGAAAGCCGGCGGTCTGGTTTCGTGAGTCTGTGCGGTAGCGTGACTCTCCTCCCCTCTCCCTGCCGAAAGACAAACTGAACTCACACGGAGGGAATAACACGGCCTCCTGTAGCCTGCTGGAGATCTGGATGCGGATTTCCATCAACACGCCCTGGAAATGGTTGCGTCATTGTTTGTCAGAATCCTGCGAGGGTTATGAAACAGAAGTGAAAAAACAGTAAACTGGGCAAGAGAAGCTTTTTTTTTATTCAGAGTTAATTTACAATGCAAACCAGAGAGCTGAGCTCCACATGTGGAGGCTGGACTTCACATGCTGCTGTAGGAAAATACAGACCAGGCCTGTGTGGATGGAGAGAGGAAAAGCGAAGCAGAGGGAGGAGGCAGAGAGAGGAGGAATCCATTTTGCAGCAGAGCATCCTTTGAAATGTGAAACGCAAGATTTTCCTAGTTGACTGTCTTCAAACAGGACGGAGAGAGAGAAAGAGGGAGGGAGGGAGGGAGAACGGCTGAGAGGAGCAACAAGAAGGAAAGTGATGAGAGTTAGGCGATGGATGGAAATAATGGGATGGATTCCCATCCTGGTTTGTTGCCAGTTAAAGAGAGACATTTAGAGAAAGGGAGTATAAAATGGCCTGATGCAGCAGGAGAACGAGGGAGGAAGCAGACAGGAGGAGGAGGAGGGGGGGATCATCCCTGAAATGTGAAACTAGTTTTTCTAGTTTCTTTGCGTAGAGGCCCCGAGGTGGCGTCCACGCTCACGCAGAGAGAGAGAGAGCAGTTCAGAGAGGACACGCACACACACATGATGATGCTTTGCCATCCAAACAATAACTTTATTCAGAGTTTGTAAAAGTGACACACACCTTCAGACCAACCTGTTGGTGGTCATACAGGAAATACGCAGTCAGACAGTTCGGGTTGGCGTGTTCCCAGACTACGTTACTACTTACTAGCTACTATTTAGTATATAGTAACTATTTCCATTTCCCTATTCACTGTTTCCATTTTACCAGTAACTATTTCCATTTTACCAGTAACTATTTCCATTTTACCAGTAACTATTTCCATTTCCCTATTCACTGTTTCCATTTTACCAGTAACTGTTTCCATTTTACCAGTAACTGTTTCCATTTTACCAGTATCTATTTCCATTTTACCAGTAACTATTTCCATTTTACCAGTAACTATTTCCATTTTACCAGTAACTATTTCCATTTTACCAGTAACTATTTCCATTTTACCAGTAACTATTTCCATTTTACCAGTATCTATTTCCATTTTACCAGTAACTATTTCCATTTTACCAGTAACTATTTCCATTTTACCAGTAACTATTTCCATTTTACCAGTAACTATTTCCATTTTACCAGTAACTATTTCCATTTCCCTATTCACTGTTTCCATTTTACCAGTAACTGTTTCCATTTTACCAGTATCTATTTCCATTTTACCAGTAACTATTTCCATTTTACCAGTAACTATTTCCATTTTCCTATTCACTGTTTCCATTTTACCAGTAACTATTTCCATTTCTGTAGTAACTATTTCCATTTTACCAGTAACTATTTCCATTTCTGTAGTAACTATTTCCATTTCCCTATTCACTATTTCCATTTTACTAGTAACTATTTCCATTTCTGTAGTAACTATTTCCATTTCCCTATTCACTGTTTCCATTTTACCAGTAACTATTTCCATTTTACCAGTAACTATTTCCATTTCTGTAGTAACTATTTCCATTTCCCTATTCACTGTTTCCGTTTTACCAGTAACTATTTCCATTTTACCAGTAACTATTTCCATTTCTGTAGTAACTATTTCCATTTTACCAGTAACTATTTCCATTTTACCAGTAACTATTTCCATTTTACCAGTAACTATTTCCATTTCTGTAGTAACTATTTCCATTTCCCTATTCACTGTTTCCATTTTACTAGTAACTATTTCCATTTTACCAGTAACTATTTCCATTTTACCAGTAACTATTTCCATTTCTGTAGTAACTATTTCCATTTCCCTATTCACTGTTTCCGTTTTACCAGTAACTATTTCCATTTTACCAGTAACTATTTCCATTTTACCAGTAACTATTTCCATTTCTGTAGTAACTATTTCCATTTTACCAGTAACTATTTCCATTTTACCAGTAACTATTTCCATTTTACCAGTAACTATTTCCATTTCTGTAGTAACTATTTCCATTTCCCTATTCACTGTTTCCATTTTACTAGTAACTATTTCCATTTTACCAGTAACTATTTCCATTTTACCAGTAACTATTTCCATTTCTGTAGTAACTATTTCCATTTCCCTATTCACTGTTTCCATTTTACCAGTAACTAATAAATGCAATGGAACAAGTATCTAAATAATAGATACTAGTAAAATGCAAATAGTCACTAGTAACTACTAAATAAGTACTAGCAGCTTTTAAATGGCGAGTAGTAGTTTTAAAGGAATAAACGACTTGCCATACTTACTTGGAGTTAATCTAATGAGTGAATTTATATTTGAGAGTTTAAAATGATCCAGTAACAAACGTGTGAGCGCTCTCTGATGGACAAACTGTTTCTAACTCACTGCAAACGTTCTGCAGGTTCTGCTCGCTTGTTGTTCAGCTTGTGTCGACACCAATATTATCTGCAAAAAGCAAACATCAGCCGATATGTATAATCAGCCAGGCCGACTCGACACACCGCGACACAAAGCTCTTCAACATGTGAACTAGCAGCGGATAAATATGTCAAACAGCTGTGAGCCTTCGGAGCTAAAAGTTAGTTTAAATAGTTTCCTGTTGATTTTCAGAACCTGACGTGGCACCAAGTATAAAGAGTTTCACTTCCTTCCCAGAATAACGAGGAATCTCTCACGCAGAGAATAAAGATAATAAGATTATAGATTCATCCTCCATGGTGTCTGCAGGACAGCAGATTAGATAAACCGTTTCCGTTACAGTTTGTCCAGGTTTTGAGAGATGAAACTCGACGTCTGTTTGAGGATAAATGTTGATAATAAACTACAAACGTCGCCTTCCTGTCCACAGAAACTTAAACCAGCGTGTAAAAACTTTTCAGGAGACAAAGTGAAGCACAGATGGAGAGAGCAGCATCACATGAGCCGGCCCCTCTCGGCCCTCTGTTGTGAGGCCGTTGGGCCCTGTTGCCATGGAGAGGCATCCCATTAGCCTATTATGGGCTGGCAGCGGTGTGCTGAGCCGTGATTGGCTGTCTGAGGCTGCTGCATGTCAGAGGCGAGCAGAGGAAGAGAGGAGCTGCTGTCTGTTTCTGAGAAATTTTATTCTTCCTTCTTTGTTTCCTTCCTCACTTCCTCTGAAGAGGCCTAAGTATTCCTCCTCGTCCTCCTCCTCCTCCTGCTCCTCCTGCTCCTGATGTTTGTGGTTGACTCACACTGATACGTGCACAGATGCATGAGTGGGAAAGCTGTGCGTCCTGAGCTCTGGCTGACTCAGCAGCGCCCCCGTGGCGGTGCAGAGGAACTGCAGGCAGTCAGACAGGCAGGAGGTATTAAGTTACACATAGTACTACTGTTGGTACTACTGAAAGTACTACTGCAGAAGTAGCAAATTCCTGCTTCCATGAAACAGCAGAAAATGTAAAGCAAAGTTTTCAAACACTATTAAAGTGTATTTTGTGCCGACTGGCTGTGTATTCCTGAATGTATTTGTAACCTGCTGCAGGGTTAGTACTCCAGGACAGGAGTACTGCTTGTTCAAAGTATCCGTATAGTCCTTTGTGTGTACTTCACTTGATGCGTATAAACGTACACAGTGCACACAGCGTAGGGGGGGTCAGCAGGGCCTTCTACACAGTTAGTGCCATCCTGAAAATACTACCTAAAATACTACTACTAGTTGTACTTTTACTGTTACAAGTCACAAGCCACTTATGCTAGTACTACAACCAAGGGTAGAATTAGAAGTAGTACTGCAACTGCAACCAGTACTGCTACTTTTACTGCTGCCCCTCCTCCACTACTGTAGTGCTACTTATATTGCTACTGCTACAAATATTACTACTACTAATAATAGTATTGCAGCTGCAGGGCTGCTTGTATCAATACTACTCCTAGTACTCCTGCTGGTACTTGTAGTACTACTATGATCAATACTACGGGTTGATGATATTATCTAAAGTCTTTGTCTGATACAGTAATCAGGATCAGTTTGATAACTATTGATTAGTAGTCGCAGTATTTTAAATACTTTAATCTTCTGGACTCCTGAGTTGCACCATGGACTGACTGACTGACTGATTGATTAATCATAAGGATTTGATCTTTGATCGTGTGTGTGTGTGTGTGTGTGTGTGTGTGTGTGTGTGAGTACACTGATATGTTGAGCAGCTGTTGGCGACACACAGATTGTCTCTCTGCTGACTCTGCATGCTTCCTGCTCTCCGATTGGTCCGTTCTGGGGTCACAATACAGTTTGAGCCAAGGAGACTTTGCTCTCTTGTTGTCCCGCCTCCTCTCTGCTTCCCCGTTACCTGATTGGTTAATAGTAAACTTCCTGTCAGCTGGTCCCAGATCTGCTGACTCCGTCACTCTGTCAGGACCTCTTATGGGCGTTCAGCCTGCTGCCTGTCGGGTCCTAAAAATAGACGATAACATCCAACACCTTCTCCCCTGCTCCCTTTACTTACTATATGCTCCTTTCCTCTCTCCTCATTTCCTTTCCTTCTTTTACTGTCCTCACTTTGTCTTCTTTCCTTGTCTCTCCTCTTTTCTTTCCTTTCTCCCTCTCCTCTCCTTGTTTCCTCTCCTTTCTCCTTTCATTGTTTCCTCCTTCTTTCCTTTCTTATCATGTTTTGTTGTCTCCTCTCCTTCTTTAGTCTCCTTTCCTTCCTTTCTCCTCCTCTTCTCTCCTTTCCTTTCTCATCTCTTCTCGTCTTGTCTTTCCTCTCCATTCCTTCCGCGCTCTCTTTTTATTTCCTTGTCTCCTCTCCTTGTTTATTGTCCTTTCCCTTCTTTCTTCTCCTCTCCTTGTCTCCTCTCCTCCTCTTCTCTTCATCTCTTCTCATAGCCTTGTCTCATCTCCTTATCTCCTTTCCTCTCTCCTCTCCACTTTAAATCAAGCAGCACCATCAGTCCTTTGAGAGGAGGAGGACATCTCCCTCCTCCTCCACAGTGCAGAGAAACAAAATGTCTCCTTAACACCTTCCAGCTTCTGGTTTTAAGGACTTAAACAGGATGAACGGTGGAAAGGAGTAACATCTGTTAGAGCTGTCGTTTATAGCAACAACAAAACACTGTAAACAAGATGCGACAACAAGCAAAATAACTGCGACATGGTACAGTCTTGTGTTTCCTTCCTTAAAAATTAATAAATAAAAATAAATGAATGAAACCACATCAGCTGTTTAAATCTAGAGGCTGTCAAAGTCAGAAAGCTTTAGTGACGTCGTGAATTTAAAGCTCTTCCTCTCCATGAGGAAATCAACCCGCCATCGTAAGACAACTTCCTGCCGTGACCTCAGGGCGTCCCCGTCTCTCCCGCCGGCCTTATAAGGCGGCTACGCTGCTGTTTGTGTAATTATGTGATAATTGCACAAACTTACAGATCGTTACAGGCTTGTGTGTGTGTGTGTGTGTGTGTGTGGGTATCCCGCCACATTCCCAGCTGATTAAGTCGGATCAGGTTTCACCATCGGTTGACGAGCTACATCTTGGCTCTTATTCTTACTCACACTCCCAGAATCCCTTGTTTTCTGTCCATTACCCAGAAGTCCTGGCTGTTTTAAACCCACGCGCACACACACCAGCCTGTTTGTGTGACACGTCTGATTTGAACACATTTTAATCTGCACTTTCTGTAATTTATATTCTAAAGATGTGAGTTTCACCTTTAAACTCAAGTACTTGTTTCTAGAGGTGTGAGTTCTGCAGAGGGCAGCGGTTTGACCCAGTTTCAGGTGCTTCGTCTCCACCTGGACATCCAGCAGCATGATACAAGGTTCAGGTTGTGGACTAGACTAACCTCCGACCCTCCGTCTCTCTCGCTCTCTCAGACATATGAAGATCCATGAAAAGGACCCGGCCAGCGGGCTGCTCCCCGTCAGCCCGCCCTCCCCCACCAAACGCCGCCGTCCGTCCGTCAAGAGGAGGTTGGAGGAGGAGAGCGGAGAGGAGCCGCCTAGCAAGAAGGTAGAAACACACACCTGCAGCAGCAGTAAAATCAGGCGTAGTCAGTGTAGATCAATCGTGATTATCAGTTTGGCCGTAATCGTGCAGCCCTAGATGAAGCTGTGATAAGTGGTGAATAAATAGTGATGTTGGTGTGTGTGTGTTTGTTCAGGTGGTGGAGGACGTGGCGGCGGAGGAGTTGGCGGCGGCGGTTCGAGGAGCGGAGGAGGAGCTGCTGCCCTGTCCACTCTGCTTCAAGACCTGCAGCTCCAGACTAGAGCTGGACGAACACATGGACGCACACCCGGACACCGCACTGAGGTACCCGCAGATAAACACACGCCTCTCCTTCCCAGAACTCCCAGCATCCTTTGCAGAAATGTTTGTTTTTTCCCCATAAAGGTTAAGTTCGTTCGAGTTTTGTGCACTTTAGTATTTAGTATTATTATTATTATATTATTATTATTAGTATTAGTATTTCCATATTCTGCTTCTTGACACTTGTACTCCACATATTGTACTTTTTACTTCACTACATTTACTCTTTGTTACACTTTACATAAAAAAACATAATGATACCCCGCAATTTAGTACTTTATACTAATCTACACAGTAGTACGCAAAGTATCCGAAACTGGCAAAGTACAACGTTAAAATAATATAATATTCTATAACAATATAGAAGGAGTACTTTTACTTTTGAAACTTTAAGTAGAGTTTGCTGCATAAGTAGACTTTTACTTGTAATGGAGTACTTTTTTTATGGTACTTCTACTTCAGTGAAGGATCTCAGTACACGTTTGCAGTCTTTGTGCTAAGCTAAAGCTAAGCTAAGCTAAGCGGCTGCTGCCTGTAGCATCATGTTTAACAGCTGACACTTCTGTAGACCAAGCGATCAGGTTTCAGAGCAGAGCTGGTGAAAGTTTCTCTGAAAAATACTTTTTGTCAGAGTTGAGATAGTAATAAAGAATAAAGCAGCTCCTGGACTCATTAGCAGGCAGGGAGTCAGACGGAGAGGGAGGGAGGAGGAGGAGGGAGTAAATCAGTCATTAAGAGATAAAAGAGGTGGAGGGCGGGCGGCGAAAATGAGGGTCGGCTTAAACGGACGGATGAATAACGAGGAAACGAGAGAGGAGGGGGGGCTAATAATTCACCAGTGGGCGAGAGACGTAGAGAAGCAGAGAGAGAGAGAGGACAACTTAATAAGTCACACAGAGGAGGAGGAGGGGGAGGAGGAGGAGGAGGTTTCATGACACGCTCGGCCAAACACAAACAGAGTTTGAGTTCAAAGTTTAGTGTTTTATGGAGTTGCACCGAAAAGGAGGAGAAGACGGAAAGAAAGAATTGAAAAGTAAAAGCAAGGAAAGTAAAAAGAAAAGAAAAGAAAAGGATGGAGGACAGAAAATCAGAGGGAGAGAAGGAGGAGCGGCAGCTGAGCTGAGCTCGTTATGGAGGAAGGCAGGAAAATTTAGCTGTAAATCCTCACTAATCAGCCTGTAAGAGGATCGACTGGACTGTAGGGAGGAGAGAGGGGGGAGGAGGAGAGGAGAGAGGGGGGAAAAAGAGGGGGAGGAGGGAGGAGGGGGGGGAGGAGAAGAGTGGAGGGAGAGGGGGGAAAGAGAGGGGGAGGAGAGGGGGAGAGAGGGGGGAGGAGAGGAGGGAGAGGGGAGGAGAGGAGGGAGAGGGAGAGGAGGGAGGAGGGAGGGAGGAGAGGAGGAGGAGGAGAGGGGAGAGGAGGGAGAAGAGGGGAAGAGGGAGGAGGGAGAGAGGGTGAGAGGAGGGGAGGAGAGGGGAGAGGAGGGAGAAGAGGGAGGAGGGAGAAGAGGGAGGAGGGAGAAGAGGGAGGAGGGAGAGGAGGGAGGGAGGGAGGAGAGAGGGGGGAGGAGAGGAGGGAGAGGGGGGAAAGGGAGGAGAGAGGAGGGAGGAGAGAGAGGGGAGAGGAGGGAGGAGAGAGGGAGAGAAGAGGGAAGAGGGAGGAGGGAGAGGAGGGAGGAGAGGGGGGAGAGGAGGAGAGGGAGGGAGGAGAGAGGGGGGAGGACGGTGGAGGAGAGGGAGGGAGGGAGGATGGAGAGAGAAGAGGAGGGAGGAAGAGGAGGAGAGGGAGGGAGGAGAGAGGGGGGAGGACGGTGGAGGAGAGGGACGGAGGAGGAGAGGGAGAGGAGGGAGGATGGAGAGAGAAGAGGAGGGAGGAAGAGGAGGAGAGGGAGGAGGGAGGAGAGAGGAGAGGGAGGGAGGAGCAGGAGGAGAGCTGGGATGAGCCAAATTATTTATTCAAGTCTCATTGAGAACAAATCAGCTGCTGCTCGTCTCTGCTGCAGGCTACGTTAGCCGCTAACAGCACAGCCGAGTTGCATTGTGGGTAATGTAGTCTGCAGGTGTGCTGATAAATCTAATCTGTGGACTGAGGACTCTTTCAGAAGCCAGTTTTCACTGGAAAGCAAATAAAAGTTGGGGACAAACTGGACAAAACAAGTCAAGTAAACTACGAACCGTTTTTTGGCTCCGGCTTCCCAAAATGTAGTTCTTTAAAATAAATTTTGAGTTTAGGACAAAACAAGACAGTTGAAGTTTGTGCGTCCCTGCAGGTGAAAAGGAAAACCTTTCTGTACACGTGAGGACCCTCCTGACATGTTCCAACCAAATCTAAACCGTCAAACGGCCTTTTGAAGAACCTCTCGAGGTTTAACCTTAAAGTGATGAAACATGCAGGAGCACAGAGTAATGGCGCCACCTGCTGGGATCATTTTGTTTGCTGGTCACTCGGCGTCGGTGTTTACTGACGGCTCCCCTCGCTGTGTCTCCCAGGTGTGATCTCTGCTGCCTGTCTTTCCGAACCCACCGTGGTTTGTTGCGTCACAACGCCGGGGTTCATAAGCTGCTCCCTCAGGACCCCAGCGGCCGGCCCTTCATCCAGAACAACCCCTCCATCCCCACCGGCTTCAACGACCTGGCCTTCATAGACTTCTCCTGCAAGAAGTTCGCTCACATCGCGCAGGTACCAACGCACGCCGCTGTGAACGCCACTCGGACAGAAATCACCCTCCTGGGTCAGTGTTTAATCACCTCTGTGCTTCCTTCCAGGTTTGGTGCGAGACAAACCTTCGTCGCTGCATCAGTAAGTTCCATCGGTTCGTCTGCGATTGCTGCGACAAGGCGTTCCCCCTTCGCTCCGCCCTGGACCTCCATAAATCCATCTCCCACTCCGACAAACCCGCCACCGCTGACACGCAGGACACGCAGGACACGCAGGACACGCAGGATACGGAGGACGAAGCAGCGGGTGGAGACGCAGAAAACGGCGTCGAGAACGGCGGTCAGGATGTTGAGAAAGAAGCCCCGCCCCTCAGAGCAGGCCGGCTTCTTGGAGTCACTGGGCCTCCTGCACGTCTCCAAGGTGAGCTTCAGAAGTAAATCTTTACCACAGAAAGTCAAATTAAGAAGTTTAAAGAAAAGACAAACGCAGCCCCGTAACGGCCCTCTGATGTCTTTACTCCTCAGGTAAAGTCTGGTCCCACAGACGATGAGATCCATCAGGCCCACCTGGACAGCATCAAGGTGATCCACGTGGAGCCGCCGTCCTCCAGCCTTCCCCCAGGAGCCGGCCTCAGCTTACCTGTCCGGAGGTCTGGGGCTGACTTTGGGGCTGGGCGTAGGCGGTCTGGCGGCCCTCAGCATCCCGCTGATGGAGGCCTCGGGCTCCGCCTCAGCCCTGCAGGGCCTCTCCCAGACAGACGCCCTGAGCCTGCTCTCCCTGCAGCCCTTCCAGACCGGCTTCCTGCTGCAGCCTGACGGGAGCGCCGCAACAGGCAGCGCGGGCTCGTCGGGGGTCAAACCCGGAGAGGCAGGGGGAGCCGGGATCATGGAGCTGGCGGACATCCAGCAGATCCTCAAAGTGGCGTCTGCAGCGCCGAATCAGATGGCACTGACCCTCCCCGCTCTGGCCAAAGCTCCAGGATTTGCTGGAGGTCAAGGTGTGTGGCGTCTCGAGCTGGACGCTCTCGTCTTTGTGTTTTTAGATTTAGGATCCAAAAGAGACTCACTGACTCTGTTTCTTCCTCCTCCAGGTCAGAAGGCGATGCCTCCGTTGAAGCCCAAACCTCCCATCACCCCTCGCTCCAGCCTCACGGCGACGACTCCTCCCCCCCTCCAGAGCTCCCAGCAGGCCTCACTGGGCTGCATCAGCCCCAGCCTGCCGCCTCCCAACCCGACTCTCTTCAAAACGCCCTCCTCATCCTCCTCATCCTCCTCTTCATCTGGGAACGGAGGGCAGTTGGACGCAGAGTGTATGAGTGACGCTCACACGCCTGTATCTGATTCGCCGCCAGCTGCTAACACCGCAGGACACGAGGAGGCGGGGCTTAGCGGGAGAAAGCCAGGAGCCAAAGGAAACAACGCCGGCTCGGCTAAAGGCTTGTTCCCGTGCCGATTCTGCGACCAGGTGTTCGCCTTCTCCGGCGTCCTGCAGGCTCACATGCGCTTCCACCTCGGCATCCTTCCCCACCAGTGCAACATCTGCGACTACGTGGCTCCCCGACAAAGCCACGCTGATCCGACACCTGCGGACGCACAGCGGCGAGCGCCCGTACGTCTGCCGGGTCTGCCACTATCCTTTCACTGTCAAGGCCAACTGCGAGCGCCACCTCAGGAAGAAGCACGCCAAGACCTCGAGGAAGGACATCGAGAAGAACATCAAGTACGTCACCTCCACCACTACAGCCAACATGGCGGCGGCGATCACTGCCGGACCCACCACCACCACCCAGGACATGGAGACGGGCTGCACCGGAGCTGAGACGACCTGCCGGTTTTGCGGCGAGGACTTGAAGACGTACCGGGCGCTGCAGATCCACCCTGCGCACACACAACGGCTGCCAGAGGAAGCCGTTCGAGTGCCGCCGCTGCGGCGCCGCCTTCCTGGCCAAACGCAACTGCATTCACCACCTGCTGAAGCAGCACCCCGAGGTGCAGGAGAGGGAGATCGAAGAGCACATCGCCACACTGCTGCCTGCCGCCGTTCCCGTCGCTACCGCCGCCTCTGGCCGAGCTGCTGCCGTGAGTCAGATGGCGGTGAACGGGATGAGTCCGCCTCCGATTCAGGCGGTGAAGGTGGAGGAGCTGGCGATTTATCCTACAGAACTGGACCAGCCGCTGGACTTCTCCGCCAAGAGTCGTGGCTCGGGCAGCCACGCGGGTTCTCCTGGGGTCAAACTGGAGAGCGTGTCCCCCACCTTCGACTGCTCCGTCCTGGACCAGCCCATCGATCTGTCCATCCCCAGCAAGAGGCAGAGGAGGGAGGTGAGCGCCGGACAGATGAAGGAGATCAAGACGGAGCAGAGCGGCAGCAGCATAGTGGAGCAGCAGCACGCTCTGTCCAAGGAGGACAAGGCGGGGAACACCCTGCCTCCCCTGCACCCTCACCCCCCAGCTCGGCTGCTACCAGCTCCCCCCTGGATCCACCCCGCCCCCCCGCGCCCCTCCCCAGCCTCAACAACTCCACACGAGCCCAGCGCCTCAAACCCCTGCTCCCCAAACCGGCCTCCTCGGCCTCCTCCCCTCCCTCCGCCGCCCTCAAGGAGCTCCCTCCTCTGGCCTCCATCGCTCAGATCATCCACTCGGTCTCCGGAGCTCCGGACCTGCTGAAGAGAGAGGCCGTCGCCTTGGAGGGCAAAACCAGGGCAGCGGTCGCCGCCTGTCAGGCCGATCCTGCTGCAGGACCCTCCGCTGTCCCGGAGACGCAGAGCGAGGACACGTCTGAGGGATCCTCCAGGTGAGCTTCATTCAAAACGGTCATTAAGATAACCTGCTGCTTCTGGTGAATCCACACTCAAATGTGTTTTTTAATTCACAGTTTTGTACTTTTCAACAGTTACAGAAAGATAATCAAAGTTAAAACATATCAAACAATAAAACACAGGAAGCGTTCCAGGAAGAAACCTGCTGCGCTGACGGTGAAGGAGAAGAGCGTTGTTAGCGGCGGCGGCATCGACCTGGAGTCCAGCGGGGAGTTCGCCAGCGTGGAGAAGATGCTGGCCACCACCGACGCCAACAAGTTCAGCACATACCTGCAGACCGGCGCTGCGGACCTGGGAGGAAAGAGAGGTAGGAGGGAGGAGGGACACGTTAAAGATGACCGAGCTGAGGAACAGGTGACTCACTGAGACTTCATTCAAACCTCTCGCTGTGAACAGATGTCGACAGAGCGGGAGGAGCGGAGGAGCAGGAGGGAGGAGTGAAGGAGGAGGCCAAGCCGGCGCCGGTGGCGCCGCAGTCCAAAGGAAAGAAGAACGCCTACTCCAACTCTGTCCAGAAGATGACCTGCCCCTTCTGCCCCCGAGTGTTCCCCTGGGCCAGCTCCCTGCAGAGACACATGCTGACCCACACCGGTAACATTTACTCAGTACTGCACTTGCGTACAGTTTTGGAGTACTTGTACCTCACTTAATGCTTTTATCTGACAGCTATAGATGCAAGTTACTAAGGGTGTGACGAGAGATCGCGCCACGAGGTCCCGCGAGATTAAATTGTGACGATATTTCTCATCGGGTAAAAAGCTGCGAGACTCGCGCTAATTTTCTCACTCAGTGAAATACAAATAAACTCCGCCCAGGTGATTGACAGTGGCGTACGCTGTGATTGGAATCAGCTGAACCCGCTCGGCAGGTAGACGTTATGTTACGACTTTTCTCTGGACCACAGATCTGTGGGGGAGATTCTGAACGTGCAGAAAGTTTTGAACATGAGCAGAAAAGCTGCTGAAACACAGGAGCTGTTAAAGTCCAGGAGTTTCTAACTGAATTAAAATTAAATAATTTATAATGGAGGTGAAAAGGAGCCACAGTCAGATTTAAAGAGGTTACTTCCTCAAACAAAGACACAAAGAGGAGGGAAGACTGAATCATGAAAGTTGATCTACAGACCTGCATTTTATCGTCACCTGCCACCTGAATTTTGTGTTTCTCTTCATATATATAAAAAAAAATAAAAAATCATCAGAATGCAGAAAATAAAGTGTTTAATACTCAATTTTCATTTAATTCAGCACTAAAGATTTTTTTTAAATAGTGTTAAAATCTTGTCTCGTCACCCCCCCCACTAGTTACCTTCCAGAATAAAGCTGATAAAATACAAAACCCTCTGCGACACAGCAGGTTTGTTCCACCAAAGAGACGGGTTCAGGTTTTATTTTATTTGTCCCTGTAGGCTAATATGTCTCAGCAGTGGAAAAGTCATCGGAAACAAACACTAAACAAATTACAGTAAACAGTAGATAAAACATAATAAAAGTACTCAAGGTTGCAGTAAAATACATAAATCAATGTAAATCAAACTTCTGTTTAGACGTGAGAGGCTGAAATTCCCTGTTCAAAAGGCGGCGTCATCAATTTACAGTTATCTGTCGACTCAGCAAGTTAACAGTTTGGTTCAGTTTCTGTTTCTCACGTTTCCAAACCACCCAAATGTGGAAAAAGTTTCCTCAAACAAAACAAACGCTGGTGCCACGGCTGCACGCTGCTGTTCAAAGCTCAGTGTTGAGTCCCGAGATATTTGTAAGATTGTGTGTGCACAAAGTCCAGAATATATATAATAAATGTGTCAATCACGGCCCCTCAGACTCATCTGGTGACCCCATGGAGGGGCCCGACCCCTAGGTTGAGAACCGCAGGACTAAGCGGAGTGCATTTGAAGAACTTAAACTCGACATTTTGCTCTTACTGCTGATGATAAAGTACATTTAGCTGATAATACTCTTTGTCAGTCCGGATGTGTTCTGTTACAAATAAAGTAAAACGTCTCCTCATCTGACTCCTTTTGTGTTTCTTCAGGCCAGAAGCCTTTCCCCTGTCCCAAGTGCGACGCCTTCTTCTCCACCAAATCTAACTGTGAGCGCCACCTGCTGAGGAAACACGGCGTGACGCACCGAACGCTGCGGCGTAACGGCGCCCTCGCCAAGAAGGACGGAGATGAAGGATCGATCGAGAGCGCAGGTCAGAAATAAAAACTGGAGCTTTGAACAGATTAAATTTCATGGTTATTTATTTAGAATTTGATTCATTTTAAAATCGTGCTTCCGCTGTTTCGTTTCCTGCAGCTTCTTCTACTTCTTTTGCCGTCTCTTTGTATGACAATAAATAAAGTTCTTTTGAATCTGTCGGCCGTTTCCAAGCCTTTTGATACGAAGCGGTGGTTATTTTCCCTTCTCAGACTGCTTCCTTAGCATAAAGAGGTGAACCTGAGCAGCACACTGAGCTGCAACGATCATTGTTGAACTTGTTTCTCACCTGGAGACTGTTGATGTGTGTGTTGGTCACTGTGTCGACTGTGTTACAGAGAGTCAGTCGGAGACGGAGCAGGTCGCACCGGAAGCGCAGGATCCCGGCACTTCCACAGACTCGGGCTCCGCCCCCACATCAGAGAGTCCCGCCCCCTCCGACCAGCAAGAGGCGACAACACCGTGCCCCACCCGCAATTCAAGCCACGGTTAGTCATCAGAAAGAAGTAGAGCTGAACCTCCTGGTCGATTGACTGATGAGTGAAATCACAACGCAGTAATGCAGAAACTTTTCTGATCATCAGTTGTTGCCTGCTGGTCGCAGCTGGGAACGCTCGCTGCTTTTCTTTGCTTTACGTGAATAAACATATTTGGGGTTTGAACGGTTGGTCAGACCAAACAACACACGTGAGGACGCTGCCTTTTGCTTTTGGAAACTTTGATCAGCATTGTTTTGTCAACTTTGTGTAAATTTACACGTTCTGTTGTTTAAATTAGTCTGAGGTCGTTGGTTTCAAATATGTTGTTTGAATCGTAGCCTTTTCTTGTTACTCCCATCTCGCTCCCTCGCGTTTCCTCTTGTGTTCACGCTGCACACAATCTAACAAAGACCTTTAGGGTCTAAACAAAAGCTGAGTAGCTATTTTGCAGCTGATGACTCCGACTCGTGTCCGTTTGTGCTGCAGGATCCAGTCCAGCCGCCAGCGGTGCAGAGCAGCAGGAGACTGAAACCACGGAGCAGCCGGACCAGCAGGGGGGCGCCAGAGACCAGAGCAGCGCGGGGAAAACAGCCTCCACAGAGCAACAGCTCCAAGGTAACGCCACATGTTTAGACGCACTGCAGTGACCTGACGACTGTCACTATTCAGGCGTGTCCCCTTCAGTGTTGGGCTTTAGTTCTGTTTTATTATTATTATTACTCCTTAGAAAGGTATTAACATTACTTTACTTATTACTGGGTAAAAAGGTAATTAGTTACGTTACTATATTACTTTCACTAAAATGAATCCAGTTCCCTGGAACAATAATGAACTCACACAGCAGCCTGTCAGACCAGATGATGCTGTGCAGTAAAAGGCTCTGGATATGCAGGATTTAACAAAATAAAAAACGTTTACAAATCGTTTCTTAACGCCACCGGCTGAAATAAAAACAAAAGCAAGTCCCTCCCGACGTTTGAAGTACCGTTTTTCTGAGTATTTACAAAATATCGGACTTTGCTTAGCGCCGCTCTCTCCTGACGAGTGCATCATCTCTGGCGGCAGCAGCCGGAGTTTCACGTCACTGTGCTGCTTCAGCAGATGCTTCAATAAATCAGATGTAGAAGTGTTGGCGGTTTAAAGCTGGTCGCACATGTTCTTTGCGTCTTAGACTGTGACACAATAACGGCAGTAGCTACTTACAGCTAGAAGAACGCCTCTCTCCCTCGTTCTCCATTCTTCCTTTTAGCTTTTTGGCTAACAGCTGACTTGAACAACATAAGGTGGGCTTGGCAGTGGAGCAGTGGCTGAGACTCGGGTTCGAATCCACACTGTGACACGTCCACCAGTGTGTCCCTGAGCAGAACACTGAACCCCTCGTTGCTCCAGAGACGTGCGACCTCTCACATATATAGCAGCCGTAAGTCGCTTTGGATAAAAGCGTCAGCTAAATGAATTAACGTAAAATGTTAATACTGTAATAAGGTCCGGCTTCCTGACTGGAACAGCTCCTGACCTCGTGTCTTTCCTGGTTTAACTGTATCAGTGACACAGGGTGTTGATTCCTGTGCTGGAAACAGACTTATTTAGACTTCCAGAGGACGCACAGTGTTAGTTTGTCTACACTTTCCCTGTCTGCGGTCTTTCTTATCTCACACATCCAAGAAATCATCTTCGTTCAGGAGAACTCTTAGCTGGAAAACCGGGTTCTTCTAACCCCCCTCCTCCAAGTTTAAGAGATTACTGGAGAAAACCAACTGGAAAATGGTTGCTAAAGTGCATAAAAATGTTCTTCTTGAAGTTTGGGTTCATCTCTGTTATCTGTTGGAACAAAAAGAACCGGTTCCTTAAGAACATCTTTAGGCTGTTAATGGTCTTTGAACTCCAACGCAGTGTGCGTGACATCATCCCTGACAGCGGATACTGCACTGTAAGGGCTTTTAGTTTGAAATTCAGCGGGAAACCTTGATGGGAGAATCTGCTCAGTGGGATTTTAATAGATCCAGCGCTGATTTCTCCTTCCTGTCTTCCAGGCGGAGAGCGCAGACGATGACGACTGCCACAGCAACAAAAGTCTGGACCTGAACTTCGGCAAAAAGCTAATCGACTTCAAGCTCTCCACGTCTTCAGGCCCCGCTCAGGAAGAACAGTCCTCCCAACCTGCCTCCTCCTCATCCTCCTCATCCTCCTCATCCTCTACCTCTGCTCCCCAAGTAGCAACAGAAAGCCAAGAGAAGGAGAAAAGCGGCGCCTCCTCCTCTTCCAGCAGCCCCGCGGTGAAGCAGCAGCCGGAGTACAAACACGTGTGCCGTGTGTGTAAGAAGAGCTTCCGCTACGCCACCACCCTCGCTCGCCACGAGAGGGCGCACCTCTCCGAGGAGACGCCGGCTTCAGCGGAGGAGAACCCGCCGGTGAAAGAGGAGGCGACGGAGAGCAACAATGCCAAACTGACAGAAGAAGAGCAGAAGAAGGAGGTGGAGATGGAGGAGGAGGAAGGAGGAGCGAGGGGAGGTGAGAGCGAGGGAGGAGACAGCGGGGAGTCGGAGGAGGAGGAGAAGGAGAAGGACGAGAGGAGTGACGAGGAGGCGTCCGAACCAAAGAGTTCAGAGGGAGGAGAGGCGACAGGAAGACGAGTAGACAAGAGGAAGAAGATCTGCAACGTCTGCGGCAAAAGATTCTGGTCTCTGCAGGACCTGACCCGCCACATGAGGTCACACACGGGTATGACACGCACACACGACACACACCACACACACACACACACACACACGACACACACACACACACACACACACACACACACACACACACTGCAGTGCCTACTTTGTGTTGCACAAAGACATTTAGTTGTTTATGTATTTATTTAAACTTTTGTGCTATTTTTTTTAAATTAATTTACTTTAAATGTCAAATTAATTGTTTATATAAACATTGTTGTTTTTTTTACATTTTTATTTTATAGATTTTTATTTTATGTTTTTTATTTGTAATTTTAAAATGTATTAAAAATTGAAATTTTATTTTCAGTGTATTTATTTTTGTTTACTTAAATGTTTTTTATTTAAATGATGATTTATTTTATTTTCACATTATTTTATAATTGTTAGAATTTATAGTATATTTACATATTTAATGTTTTTATAAAATAAATATAAAATATGTAAATACTCATGCTAGGTTTTTTTAAGTATTCATAATTTTTTCATTAAAACTATTTTAACTATTCTTTCATTTTAATTTCTTATAGTTATATCTTTTATTTTAAGGTTACATTTACTCTCACATTACGCTGTTACCATGGACCCGCTGCATACACCTTAACTTGCAGGTCTTTCCAGCACACGTTTACTTCAGTTCTGTCCGTGTTGTTGTTGTGGATCTACTTTCTGCGTATTAATCCCTCCCCCTCGCTCTGTGTCCTCCAGGTGAGCGGCCCTATCAGTGTCAGACCTGCGAGAGGACTTTCACCTTGAAGCACAGCCTGGTTCGCCACCAAAGGATCCACCTGAAGCCCCGTGGGGCCGACGGAGCCTCGGCCGGGAACGACGACGCCAGCGAGGACGGAGACTCCTGCACCCCGACCCCGACCTCCACCTGCCCGCCCTCGGAGAACGAGAGCGAGTGTGGCAGCGGCACGGCGGGGGCCAAGGAGCTGGAGCTGGAGGAGGAGGATGTGAAAGAGGAGGGTGACGGAGCAGAATCGGCCGCGTTGGAGGAAGAAAGCCCCTCGAAGCAAGCAGGGTCCGCTGCGGATTCAGAACCACCGACCACGGCCGCTTCTGAAGACCCGGACGCTGAGGAAAAACCTGAACTTTCTGCAAACTCTGCGACACAACAACCTTCTGTTGACACAACTCCCAGCCAACAAGCTACTGACACAAAGACTAGCGACGACTCTTCAGCCAGCGACCTGAAGTCGACGCCCGAAACAAACATCTCCAAAGACCCCTCTCCCTCATCCTCCAGCTCTCTGCCGGAGGAGTCCGTGGCAGCTGCCCCCCGCAGAGGGCTTCGTCCAGGGGCTGCTGGAGATCCACGCCAAGCCCCCTCTGGAGCACCTCCTGCCCAACGGAGAGCCTCCTCTGGTGGGGGCAGACTGAGGGGCGGCTCCCCTGGCTGTCTGAACCAACGTCACCACAGTGCCATACGACGGAAAGATGCTACACCATTGATGATGATCACGATGATGCAAAAACCAGCCCGGAAAACTTTTTTCATAGAAAGACGAAAACCTCGTTTTCTTGAAGTGCCTTACTACTAGTCCTACTTCTAAGAGATGTTTTTTGCTATATCTTTATCTGCATTATTACAGAGGATGGATCTAATTTTTATAGCTTTTTATGATGACAATGATTTGCATTACTATTTTTTTTGTGCGGGAAATCTATATTTCAGCAATAAAAAGAATAAAATTATGATTTATTATGGTTCTAGATTCTGTTTGAGAATTGATGATCAACTTAGGAGACGCAGAGAGACCGACAATGACTGAGAAGGACTGTCGGCGTCTGCGTTTATTCTTCTGTATTTAAATCACAGCTGGGCTCCGCCCACACGGCAGAGGCCGAACAATCCCATTTTAAGATTTGAACCAGCTTTGGGTTTGAGAGCGAACCTGTCATGGTGGGGAACTTTCTTTTTGTCCGCCAGCCACTTCTCCTGCTCAACCATTTATTTTTGGATAAAGTCGAACCTGGAGGTGCGATGGCTGGCAGGATGCCAAAGCGGCTGGTCGGACCACGTTTCACCAGCAAACGGTGACTTCCACCGATGGCTGGTGGTCGCCTCTCACTGCGCGACAAAGGAAGCTTTTTGTAACTGGAAAATACAGAAAGGTCGGCGCCTCGTCGTCCTTTCGGCTCGCTTCCGCACCAATCCCCATCTCTCGGCTGGCTCAGAAAACACACAAAAAACATTCACGAACTTGTCAAAGTCGCATCAGATGCTTGTGTGAAAGAGAACTCTTAAAAGGGCTGACGTAGTGATGATCAGTTTGTGTTCTCCATGTTTGTTTTTTTTTAAACCCATCACACTATTGATCCCTTTAAAGCCACCCTGTGAGTTGGTTTGCGTGTTAATAATTTCTCATTCATAATCATTCTCAGTTGATTCCATGTGTGTACAGAAAGTTGAACATGTGGCATGTGATGCTAGAGTATTTCTGTTTTTTTGCGTGTGTGTTTATCAGTGACATTTAGGTGTAGGGAGGGGAATTCTTGTGTTTTGTGGATTTTTTTAAATAACTGAACAAATCAAATTTCTTTTGTTGTGTGAGTGCGAATGTGTGTGACTCCCGCCTGTCTCTCATCGCCCTCTAGTGTTCATTTAGGGTTTATTACTGGGCCTCCAGCATGCTAACGTATATATCGCCACTAACACGTGACCCAGGTTCAGTTTACCTCTGCTTTTTAACTGCAACCATTAAAACAACAGATGAGCAACCCTTTAAATCCTATGTCTTCCTAAACGGGGCTAGCAGGGCTAATTCTGTGCTAACCTAGTTTCTACTGTGGGCCAACTCAGCGCTAACAAGGCTAGCCAAAGCTAACATGTTTTAACTGGCTTAGCTTGCACAATGGCGCAATCACAGCTAACCATGGCTAACTTGGTATCAACAACAGTGAAAAATAGAAATAGCAAGTGCTAAGTCTGGCGCACACACGAGAAAGACGGCGCCTACTTATAGCTTAGTCTTCACCACAGCGTGTAAAAGGGACGATACCAGCTAGCTGTAGTTATTAGCCTGTGTTGGCTAAACAGACAACAGCCACAAGCTACCAAAGGCTAACAGACCAGATAACTGAGCTACCAATGCCTTAATTTAGTTTCTTTAATTTCTCCGGTTAGCTAGCCCTAGCTAGTTGACCTTGTCACAGTGGGTCTATAGATATCAACCACATGCTCAAAATACATGCTAACCAGGGCTACCTGACGAGAGTAGACACGTTAACCAAGCTACCAACAGATTAGCTCAGTTAACTAGGGCTATGCCCTAACTAGCTCCAAGTGGACCCTAAGGTATTATCCACAGAGTAAAACATGCTAGCTAGGACTTACTGACCAGACAAGTTATCAAGCTAACGCGTTGCTAAGCTTGTTAACAGCATGTCCAGCTAATAGCATATCTAGTTAGTCTACTTCCAGTATTATCTCTGCATCTTGAGTTGGCCCCGGATCGCTTTAGTCCTGTTGGTCCCTAATTAACTCCATCTTCTCCTAAAGTGAAAGTCCATGTTAGGACCCTCTTTCCTGTTCCACACCTTAACTGAATGCTCAGACTCCGTGTTGATGTTCCATCACTGAGGTTAGCAGCTATCTGAAGACACGTGGTTATGAATTTGGCGGTAGAGACAATCAGTTGTAATTTTCAAATGGAGAACGGATACGTTTATTAAACTAAACCCGTCAGTTGAGCCTCGGTATGATTTCCAGAAGGAGCTAGATGACGGGGTGAATGTGACGGATGGTTGGGGGGGGGGCGTTGTGAGTGAACTATATTACCCTGCTGCACACAAACAAACACAAGTGAAAGGGCTTAGTCCACCCCCTCGCACCAACCGGCCATTTCCACAACAGAAAAGGGAGGTGATCGCTTATTGATCCTGATTCGGCAAACAGAGGGGACGGGTAGTGTGTATGTGTATTTTTTTTTGTGTGTGTGTGTGAAGATGAATATAGCTAATTTTTCTTCTTGTACATTTTCGTCTCTTTTGTTTATTTTGTATCAAGCAACCTCATAATCAAAACAAATCGAACCTCAGCGGCTCATAACGGAACTGTAAGGCAACAGCGACGGTCAGTTGTTGAGTCGGTCAAAAAGAAGTGAGAAATATTGAACAACCACAACTGGACTGGCTGACTGACTGGACGCTGCTGTGAACTGGCACTAACGACTTCCAAAACTACTACTACTACTTCTACTACTAGTACTACTACAGTGGAATATTGCGGCACAATCAATAGAGAAAGAGAATGAGAGAGTTTCCACTGGTTCAGGACTCCTGAAATCAGTCCCAGCACTTAGCAGCAGCGTGTTTGAAGACCATTTTTCTCTCGATCTAGGATAAAATATCTCCGATGTAGAGTGCCTTTACCTCTTCAGTCCCGTCCAAATGGACCCAGGACTCTCATGAATGAACTCCAAAGCCTTTCGTTTGGATTGAAAGTGAACTAAAGGAAGATCTAATGTCTCTTTTATCGCCTTAACACGCTTCCTCCCTCCATGTTTGGAAGTAAAAGTTACGCAGGAACCGAACATTAAAGATATAGATTTCATACTGCAGAATGAGCAATGAGGGGTTTTATGTTTGGAGCAGACTGGATTAGAGCTCTGGAGGAAACCTCACTGTCATTCGTTAGCTTGTTTGCTAACGGAACAATAAGTTCTTGCAGCTCTCTTAAGTTCTTGAACCATTGATTTCTGACTCATATTTGCCTCCAGACCATGTTTTGCTTTTGCTGAGCAGTTTGTACTCCCACTGAGGAGGGTTTTTTAAAACGTAGATGCTGCTGCTCAGCTACTAGGGTTCGTTAGCTTCCTCCATTTTGGGCTCTCTGTTTGCTATTTTAGTTGAACTTTATTGAACCGCGTTAACGCAAGTCTTAATCGTGAAACCCCAAAAAGTAAAATCCGTTTTAACGCTGACATCTGCTGGGGAAGTCAGGCTACTACTGAATGGCTAATACGCTAACGGCCTTCACGCAAAGAAAGCGCTTTCTATTATTTACGACGTACGTCATAATTATGTGAGTCCTAATTTTGAATTGCGCTGAAATTCTGAGTTATTAATTTAAACTCCCATATCCGTGAAGAAACTCTCTCTTTCTCTCTCTCAGCTGTTTAATGTTAGCTCTCTCTGTACATCCCTCTCCCTCGGGTATATGTGTTAATGTCAGCCTGACTCTGTGTGTGTGTGCACGGCCATATGAATACTGGACTTCCATTCGAATGCACATGGACTGTTTTTAAATGTATTTATTTGGAGCCCAGGTGTGTGTGTGTGTGTGTGTTTGTTTGGGTGCGAGTTGGTTTCTACAATGACTTGAGAAAAAGCCATGTATTAAAAATATCACATTTATGCTGCAGAACTGTTTTGAGGAACTGATGGTTTGTGTTGTGGACTAACCGGCTTGCCGTAGTGCGCGGCGGGCCAGGGTGCGAAATCGGACTAGCAATAAGAATCCCTCTGAATCCAAAAAGCTTTATGTAGATCTCCTGTATATGAGTTGTAAACGGACTGTCTGGGTCTCTTGGTTCTGTTGTTTATTATTAGTTTGGCTGAGAAATGATTTTTGTTGTTTTATTTTTTTTTTTCTCTCTGACATATAAATGCGTATAAAACTGTGAAAATCCATTGTGTTCAGTTAGAGGGTGAGTTTTAGGTTAGTTAATTTTTATTTTTTTTTGCATGTTAATCTAATTTGTTCAATTATGGATGATTTCTCCTTTCTCCATCTCGTCTCGCGCTACGCATATATAAATATAAAAATATATAATCTCGCTCTCAGGGTCTTTCACAAATCCATTATTCGAAAAGCTTCATGTTCTTATTTCCTGAGTTGCAACTTGTTCTTTCCAAGTCTGGATTATTGTCTATATTTTTTTTTTCTTTTTTTTTTTTTAAATAATGATTCAGAACTGTCAATCACTACATTTAGCACTTGACTGTGAACTCGTCATCGCCTAACAGATAAAAGATGTCGTCGTATTTTGGTGTTTTAAAGCCTGAATATTGTTCCTCCGTTCTCCCCTCTCACTCGGACATTTGGTTCAAACCTTTTCTGTTTTTCTGTCTTGGTTTAACCCTCGTGCAAACTTTCTGTCCTGTTCGGAGGTCAAAGGGAACGTAGGAGAGGAGATTTAAAGCCTCCTCGAACACAAACACACTCAGATGCTGGACCTCAATCAGAAAGCATTAACACGCAGTCATGTGGAAAACGTTTTTTGTTTTTTTTGTTTGTGGTTGTGTTTCCATCCTTCCTTCCATCACCTCGTCTGTCCTCTGCTCCCCATGCTGTTAGTAACACGTGACAGTGTTTCACAAAGTCAAGAGATGTAAACCTGTTCTGTATTCAACCCAATAAGCAATAAAGATTATATTAAGGAAAGGTGTGTGAATCAAATGCTCTCGATGGTTTTGTCTTTATTTACGCGGTTGTGAAGCACCACCGCTGCCCTGTCACTTAATCTGCATTTATTCACGTAGTTTTAGGGGTTGAAGTGTATTTTTAGACA